GAACGGCGACGGGGAGGCTGGAGGACCCCAACTCCGGTGCCCAGCTGGGCGGTCCTGGTCAGCCGCGCCACTTTCCGTGGTCGCAAACTGGAAGCCCGCGGGGCAGTCGGCCCCCTCCCGTGTCTGTGGGGCCCTCGGCGTGCTGTAAAGTGAGGCCCGAGGTTCCCGGGGAGGACAGCGCGCCCTCCCTGCTCGCGCACCCCACCGCTTCCTCGGAGGTCGCACAGCCCGACCCGTGCAGGACTCCTCTGCGAGTTGCAGCACGCGGTGTGGACGGCGCAACCGGGCAGGGGATGCAGCCCGCGGGCCAGCGGAGGTGGCAGCTGTCCCGCCACGAACGATAGTCCCTCTCGGCGCCGCCGACCGCCTAATTAGGGGCCGCTTCAGCTCCCCCGCTGCGGCCCTTCTCCGCCCGCGCCGCGCGCCCACCCGAGCCCGCTAATTGCTAAGGCCTTTCTGCACCGCCCGCCGTCCAGATGGGGGCGTCGGGGCCAGATGGGGTCCAGGCGCCCAAGGGAAGCATTGAGAGCGTCACCTAAGGGGGCTGGGCGTGGTGCGGGCCGGCTGCAGCGCGGGAGCTCCGACGATTCCCGAGGCTGGCGGCTCAGCCAGAATCTGGGGACAGCCTGGAGGGGGAGGCGGCGAGGGGGGCGTTGGTGCGGATGGGGCGACTCCCCGAGGTGGGCTCTGGAGCCAGACTCCCAGATTACAGCCCTGCCGCCTCCATTTACTGTCTCCTCCCCTCAGCAAGCCACTCACCCTCCCTGTGCCTCAGTTTCCTCGCATGTAAAATGGAATAATAGTAGCACCATCCTCAAAGGGTTACCGGGAGAATTGAATGAATTAATAACACACGCAAAGCTCTCCGCGCGATGCTCTGTACCAACTAGCCTTCCATAAATGTTAGTGCCTCCTTTTCCAGCCTCCTCCGCCTATTATTAGTATCCTGAACTCCCCGAGGTGCAGCCTCGTGCTGCCTCCTTGCTCCCCGATCGGCCACATCTGTTCTTCTCTGCAGCGTCCCCTCCCCCCATTAACCCCAGCCACAAATGGATGCGGCCCTGTAGCAACAAAGCAGTCACAAGAGAGAGATGGGAAGTAGCGATGGGAGTGAGGGGTGATGCCCGTCTCTGCCCTGCCTAGGCTGGCCCGTTACCCTGACAGGGGGTGGAGGGCTTAGCCCCGGGGGTCTAGCCTATGGTCTGTCTGCAGCCTCCAAGCCACGGAGTGGCATGCTGCTCCCTGCTGTTCCACAGGCACCCCTCCTCAGCCAGGGTGGGACTCAGTGCAGCAACAACTTACCCTGAGAACTGCCAGGCCTGAATCTGGCCCCTCTTACAGGTCTGCAGAGACAATGACTGAAGAGCCTGTCGCCAGCAAAGTCTTGAGACCTTTGGTGTAGGACCCCCGTCAAAGACCCCCATAATCCTTACTGGTACTGTGGAGCATGTGTGTGGAGACCCAGACTTGGCCCCAAGTCCATACTAAAAGAAGGACCTAAAATGAGAGGTGGGCTTGTATAGGGGGAATCTTTGGCTTTTGGTGAACTTCTAGGGGGCATCAAGGTGTTTACTTAGTAGAGGGAGTTCAGACAGATTGCTAGGTGGGTTCTGCCCTAAGGCGAGGCAGACAGACAGCTCTCCAGCACTGAGAGTGTCTTGGGGGCTTTAAAACCCAATGCCCTGGCCTCAGGGCTTTTCCCCGGTTTCAGTCTGGGAATGAGAAGGACGGGTCTTACTTGCTGGGCTGTCCCAACCCCAGATTGCATGAGTGCCCCGGTATAGTTCTTCCTACAGCCATCCTCTCGGAGGGAGTGCGACACCTTGGGTCTCAGCAACGTTCCCAACTGAGATGTGCTTTAGGTGTGAAGCTTTGCTTTGCCCCTTGGCTTACTGCCTGTTCCTGGGATTCAGAGTTTCAGCTCTATGGGCGCTAGAGGTGCAGGACAACACCCAGGGGTTCTGGCATGCTCTCCAACACAGAATCCAGGGAACAGTCATTTCTCTGTGTCTGCTGCCCAGTAAGGGAGTGAAGAGGTAGGACAGTGCTCTGGAGGACAGAGGCCATGGAGGAGGCACTGCCCCTCAACCTTAAGTCAGCGGCTTTTTATGGTGGGGGAGGGGTTGGAGAGACTCTCGAAGACCTTGGGGGCTGGTGACAGAAGTCTCTGGGCCCCAAGGCTGAGAGCTGAGGAATTGCAAGGGCCACGTGGGGCGTGGGGAAGCTGAGCTGTAGACCAGCGCACGAGAGAAGTTAATGCTGCCGGGAAGGGGGCCTCCGTCCCAGTGCCCTGCGGACCGACCGCGTCTCTCCCGGGACCGTTTAGCCACCGCCTTCTCCCCTCCCCTCGCTTTCACTGGGGGTTGTGGGTGCGCCTTGGAAGTCCGCGTGGTAGCATAACATTCTTTCTCGCTCTACTCCGAAGCCCAACCGCTGGCCTGAGTCACCCACCCAGGCTGCCCCCAGTCTAAGGCCGCTCTGCAAGGAGCCACCTGCCCCGTGCGGACGTACGCGCTCGTGTGCGCCTGTGCGCGCCGACTCGGAGTCCGAGGACGCTGCGCTCTCCCAAGTGGTGGCCCAGATCCGTGGCTGGGCGCAAGGTTTAGGTGGGTGGTTCCGGGGAGGGCCCGGAGCCTGGCTGCAACCAGGCCTTCCTTCCTTGGAGGCCCAGGTCTAGCGAGACTGGCGGCTGGACGCGGGCCGAGGTTTGGGTATGGGGATTGTGGGGAAAGACTGGCGGCTGGACGCGGGCCGAGGTTTGGGTATGGGGATTGTGGGGAAAGACTTGATTTATTTGTTTCAGCAACTGCCCCTCTATGCATACACCGCGCACGCCGGGAGCCCACGGCTGCACACGTCAAGGCTTGAGGTGGGTGAAGGAAGCTGAGACTGCGACGGAGCCCCACCCCCTACCCGCATCCCGCGGGGTCCCCTCTGTTTGTGTCTTCGGCTGGAGCAGGACCCAGCTTTGAATTCGTAACAACTTTCGTTTCAAATGGGATTTCGAAATAAAAGCTACTAGATCCTGCCCTACTCTCTTCTTGGATTCGCGTGGTGCGGTTTGGGCCCCACCCCCTTTATTCTCCCCTCCGCAGCCCCTCGGCCTCTTCCCAGCCTTCCGTCAAAAGCGAAGCCGGGTACGAGGCCTACAGTACCCATCCCTGGGCGCCTGCCTGCTGTTTAGGTCAGCAGCCCGATAGTACCTTCTGGAGGACCTGGAAGCACCTGTCCCCGAGCGAGGGGATGGAGCTACCCTCATTCCCGGGCAAGGGGTGTCCTCCTTAGGCTCAGGGGCGACCTCAAGAAGTGGGGTTCCAACCGGGGAAACCTTCCCCGCCCCGGGGGGGCCTAGGCGCAGGGACCTTCCACCGGTGGCCACCAAAGACGTCGTCGGCGAGAGGGCCCAGGGCCGCGGGACCAGTCCACTGCGTCCGCACTTCGCTGCGTTCAAGGGTGCGCGTTCTTCCGTAAGCCGGCGGGCTGAAAGATTGCAAAATGGTCTGTCCTCTTCCTTGATCGGGAAAGGCCGAAGCTTTTTAACTTTTACCCAGAATCTCTCTTAAGAGCCACGTCCTAAATTTGTATTGCAGTTTTGGATTGTGGAGAACCCAGTAGCGGCGACAAAACAGAGGTGGCCCTGGAGGAAGAGCACGAGGCCAAAGCGCGTCTCGCAACAGTCTCGCTCCCCGCGGGCAGTTCCCAGCACCTGACATATTGCAGTTCAAGGCCGGGGTGGGCGCCGGGGCAGGGTCGTGCACAGCGCAGGGAAGGGAGTGAAGGGTTAGCGGATCCCGCGCCAAACGCTCCCGCAGCGCTCTGCCGGGAACACCGTGGCGATGCCGGTCGCGGGGGTGGCCTCACGTGGCTGGTCCTCAGCTGAAGCCCCGAGCTGGATGCGGGTGGGCGACCACCTCTCAGCAGAGAGCAAATGGAATCGCGGCAGGGCAGGAGACCGAGCGCCCGGACCCCCCAGTCAAAGGCACGGGCCTCACTCCGGAGGCCCCAAGTTCCTCGAGCAGGGAGGGAAATTTTCACTTTCAATTAACATAATCCTCAACCAAAGGGAAAAGGAGTTCCGGGTTAGGCGTTAGGAAATAAAAATAAAAACGAGTTGTGAGAGGCGCCCGGAGGATGTGCTCAGAACGTGTTTTAAAGAGAATGTGAGTATGTTTGTTACGGGGGAGGAAAATAGGCAAACAACCCTCTTATCTTTCTCCAGGGCAAAACCAGCAGAACGGTCCCCAAATCCGGCGGAAAGGGATGGAATCCTGCACTCCCTTCCCCAGGCAGCTCCCCACACCTCCTCCCACCCACAAGGCTGGAAAACACCGGACTTACTTTAAATTTTATTTAAAATCTCAACACTCGATCATTTATTTCATTTTTTTTGCAACCAAACAAGTAATAAATATTATTTAGCACTTTTTTCTTTTTACAAAAATAAAACAGATGATACACTCTCTGCAAGGGGCAGCGATCAGAGGCGGGATGTTACGTGCAGACGCCGTGAAGCCCATATTGCAACTCCGGTAGCGCCCAGGCGGTTTGCGGAAGACAGGAAGCACGGAGGAGTTTGTCATTTGTGTTAAACTGGCAAAAAGAAACCAATATAGAAGAAACCCGGCTTAGACTGGGGGGTGAGGGGGTAGGACTGGCAGTCATGTGAGCAAACAGCTCCGCAGCACGCACTTACCTCGTTATTGATATTTACACATCCAAGAAAGAAAAAACTAAAAAGCCAACAGAACTCCCCAAATAACCAAAACTATATTCACAGCAACATCCTTTGAGTTCTGTCAAACCCTCGGGTACCGAAATGACTGCTCCCAGTCAGGTAAGAAATCAAATCACTTTGTGCTCAGAGATGGAAAGAATGGGAAGGGAGGGAGATTCTACTTCAAAATAACTAAAAAAACACCCGCACCTAAAGTCGACAGTTTTAGGTTATTCCAATCCACAAGTGGTTCTATTCTGATCGTCTATAAAGCTTGCTCATACTGTTGAAAAAGGAACATCGACAGATTTTATTAGAAAGCCACAAGCCCCCAAACCAATAGGAGCGACAGGGAGGAACGGTAACAGTTCTGAGACAGCTGTGGGTTTACCCACATGTGGAGATTGGACACGACCGTAAGTGCTTCTGGTACCAAATACCAGCTTCTGACCAACTGGTACCCCTGGCCCTGGGCCAGGGACGACCCGTGAGGGCAAGGCCCGGACAGCCGCTTCTGGAGTGTGGCTGAGAGTCTCCTTCCCGCCCAGAGAGGAGGCAGGAAAGGAAATCTCCAACGCTCCCCTCCCTCCTTTCCTCCCCGGTATAACCAAGGGCTGCCCCGGCCGTGTGAGGCCAAGTTCGCAGGGAAACTACAGTTTTTAGAATCACCTCTTTTTCGGGGGAAGGGGGGTTTGGAGGAAGGGATCCACGTAGCTGTGCCTTCATATAAAACGGTGTCTACCCGAGCAGCGCTGTTTAAAGCCAGAGGGGGTTGAACCAGGTCCCGGAGCAAATGCCCCTGTCACTCCCCACTGTGCAGTGCGCGCCTCCACTGCTTCCGTTCCTGGGTGCTGCGTCCTCACCATTGCCCCCACCCCCAGCCCACGGTGCCGCGCTCCTCCTTGGAACTGAGCTCCCAGGGCCCAGCGCCGGCCAGTCCTTGCTTCCCCGCAGCCTCCGCCCCCCACCCGCCCCCTCCCGCCCCGCTCGCCAGAACGCGCCTGCACCGGCCAAGCTCACTTGGCGTCGGAGGTTAGGCGCGGCAGACTGCCGGCGCCCATGGCCGACACGTGGTGGTGCGGGGGCGGCACCTGGCACATGCTGCAGGGGCAAGGCATGCCGCCCCAGTGCTGGAAGCCGCCGCCGCCCCCGCCGCTGCCGCCCGCGCCCCCCAGCGGGGCTGCCGCCGCCGCCGACGGAGACTTGAGCAGGCCGTGAGGGGGACGAATGGAGCCGACCGACGACAGGCCGGAGCCGGGCAGGGAGGCGCTGGACACCGCGGCGGCGGCTGCAGCGGCGGCGGCGGCCGCAGCGGCCGGCGGCAAGATGGGGTGGTGCACCGCCGGGTGGTGCGCCGCGTGGGCGGCGGCCGCGGGGTGCGCGGTGGCGGCGGGCAGGGGCGCTGAGTGCGCCAGGCCGCCGCAGGCCGATGGGTGGAAGCCGGCGTGGTGGCCGCCGTAGATCTCGCTCACCAGTCGCTTCATCTCCTCCAGCGAGTTGGTGAGCATGAGGATGTAGTTGCGCGCCAGCAGCAGCGTAGCGATTTTGGAGAGCTTGCGCACCGACGGGCCGTGCGCGTACGGCATGACCTCGCGCAGCCCGTCCATGGCGATGTTGAGGTCGTGCATCCGCTTGCGCTCGCGGCTGTTGATCTTGAGGCGTAGCTGCTGCAGCTCGGGCTCAGTCATCTGTTTCTTGTCCTTCTTAGTGGACGACGCGGCCGCTGACGACGTGGACGACGAGGTGCTGGACGAGGATGACTTGAAGCCACCGCCGCCCAGCTTGTCCCCCGGGTGCGCGCCCGCCGCGCCCATGGCTCCGCGCAGCTCGGCGCTCCGCTCTGGCGGGCAGTCGCTAGGCGTGGACGAGGACACGGTGCCCCCCGTGAAGCCGCTGCCCCCACTGCTCTTGCTCCGGGCGGGCAGGAAAAGGTCATCAGGCTCTGGCGACGACGGGCGGCTAGACACCAGGCTGGCGTCCGAGTCCATGGCCCCGAGGGATAGTCGCAGCTTTCGCAGGGTCCTCCCTCCCTCGGTCCTCAGAGCTTCCACGGACGCCTACTGTGGAGAGGAGAAGAAACACGAGAGAGGTAGAGATCAGAATCGAGACTGAGATCGAGAGGCACTCGATCAGTGAGACAGAAAAACTGTTCCCGCCTGCACCGCAGCGCGGGGTGCAGGCGCGTGTGGCCGGTCGCTTCTGGTGCACCTCGCTGTCTCTGGCCTTCCTTCCTGCGGCGTGCAGGTGCGCTAAAGTCATCTCTTTTTCCCTCCCTGCTACCTCACCCCGCTCTCATCCACAGGTGGTTTAATCCAGGGAGGATGGGGTGCCCCTCAGTGAGGGTGGCATTTCAGGGTTTTTATGCCTTTTATTAGGAATGGGGAGGCAGGATCTCCAGGGCTGGAATTAAAGAGTGTCAAGTGAGGGCTTTTCTTTGGGAAGGTGGAGATCTAAATAGAGAAGTATTTATTTGGTTCCTCAAACGCATCCACCGTATCTCCATCGACAGCGCGCAGCACACACACGCTCATAGGCCGGCACCCAGCGCCCGCGCCGGGCCCAGATTCCACGCGCTGTCTCCGGGGCCAGCCGGGGGCTCGCCAGCTGACCGGCACTTGGGCAGAAGAAGCTATTGTTGCCCCGACTTCTCGCTTTTGGGCGAAAGGTGTGCTGCGGTCACTGTGGGAAGGGTCAGAGCAGCGAAGCCGCTCAGGAGAACAGGCGGGCAGGGGAGGGATCTGCGTCCCCTTTAACGGAGCTTCCCAGGTCGCAGCCGAAGTGAGGGGCGTCTGTCCCTGGGATGTAGGCTGGAGTTGCTGGGGGGCGGGGACACTTACTGTGGATGCAATTAGAGGAGCTCGTTCCCAAAAGCTGCAGCAGAGAAGCGGCCCAAGGCGCTGATGTCGCGTCGGTCTATAATAAGCATCCGCACCTTTCCCGGCTCGGAGGGTTTTTATAACCCGGTGGCAGCGGCGACGGCGGCGGTGGCCGCGGCGGGGGCGGGGAACAAAGTGCAGGTCCTGGAGGGGCCACCGCGCCAATGAGCTGGGCCGGCGCGGGGGGCTGGGAAGCTGATGTCATCGGGGCTAATTCCGCTCAATGAAACTCGCCGGGCCGGGCACACGCCTCCTCCCCGCGCACAGCCAATGGGCGCCCGCGGCCGGGAGATTCTTGGGGAGGGACTGGAGCAAGGACCCCGAGGGGGCGTGTGAGAGGCTAAGGGGAGGCGGAGGGCGGGCTCGCGGGGGAAGTGCAGAGGACAGCGGTTGGGACCGAGGGAGAGAGGAGGGAACATGGTCAAATTTCTATTAAAATACAGGAACACAAAGTCAGGCTGGGAGATGGGACGGGACGGGATGGGGGCTCTGCGCACAAACTAACCTGATACACAAGGCGCTTGAATCTTGGGGATTCGCGCGGATAACCCTGGCGACCCAGGAGCTGGGGCTGGAGTCTCCGCCCTTTCTCTCTCTCTCTCTCTCTCTCTCTCTCTCTCTCTCTCTCTCTCTCTGTGTGTGTGTGTGTGTGTGTGTGTGTGTGTGTTCTCGCCACCTGTTCCCACCTCATGGGTTTCATCAACACGTGGGCATTTTGAGCTGCAAACGTACTAGATAACCAGGCTCAAACCTCCTACATCCCTCGCACTCTAAGCGCGCCTCTAAGAGGTGGCGGCTGCCGCAGCTCGGCCGGCGGCCAGTAGCGCCCCCAGCTGGGTGCAGGGCCTTGCGAGGAAGAAGGCGGGGAAGAAAAGAGGGGACCGACTCCAGAACGGTGTTTTGAAAAAAATCACACTCTTCATAAAGTTGACGGTGGTGTAGACACAGGGACGAGGTATTTCCGCATAGTAAGCACGCTAACACAAGGGGAGAGTCGAGCTCAGAGCTAAGCATCCCCTCACAGCACGGGAACCAGGTGACGGTATTTTCTGCACCATCTTTGTGGTGGTCACCACGCCATGGGGTAGGGGACAAAGCTGTTTTGTCTGTAAAAAGAAGCCTCAAGCCTGGGCGAAGACCTCTCCACACCGTGGGCCAGACAGAAAGATCCAACCGCTTGCGGCCGCGGTGGATCACGTTTTACCCATCGCAGCCTAGCTCCCAAACCTGGAAATCCTTGACCGTGAGGAATTCAACCCGATCTGGAGAAGCGCCTAACTGAGGTAGTTCCGTGTGGTACTGGCGCCTCCACCCATTTTACAGATGGGAAAATCAAGAGACTGTGTCTGTAGCAAGCCTACAGGAAAAAAAAAAAAAGCCAGCCTTTTACAGCGCAGCCCTGCCTGTACTGCAGATGTGAGCATTGGTGGTTCCTTTATAGTAGAGGCAGCCGCCGTCTCCCTAACCTCAGACATTTTCACTAGTTGAATTTCTCACACCCATACATTTCAAGTACAGAGGTTTGTTTCTTCAGATCCAGGACCCTAGACCTTTATACTGCAAACACACAAACGCGCCTCAGCCCTGTCTCCCAGGGAGTGTTACCGGCCTCTGGTTACCTCCGTTTTTTGGGAACTTTTAACTTGCATGTACGGCTTAAAAAAGAAAAAAGACAAACAAATAAACTTAGCGAATAATTCGCCCTCAAGTAGGAAAGGTACAAAATAAACAAATACAAAAAGAAACCCATATTATTGCTCCCAGTTTCTGGATAAGTCTTCCAGCCCCGTCTCCACTAGAAAGCCAGGCGGGCTCTCCCCCAAGCCCCAGCTCGTGCCTTCTGGGGAATTATTTTTCAACCCGCGCGTTTCCCAGCTGGCTCTGCAGCCATCCGTTAAATATGTATTTAAAACATGAAGAACTGAAGCGTGGAGATGTGTCGTCCACCGGTCACGGAGGATGACCCAGCACCGTTCAGTTAGGCGAGTCTGGCACTTAGAAGAACGCAGGGAGCGGGGGTGGGGAGCTGGCAGAGCCCGGGTATTTGCGGGTCATTCCTTGGGCTTTCCCCGGCCACCGACGGTGAGGACATTCGTAGGGCTGTGAGCTCTGGGCCACCAACCGGGGCGTGGACTTGTGAGCACGCCAGTGTATCTAATAAACACCAGCAGGCGCAACGAGTGCGTGCCTGGGTTGCAGCCGCTGAGGTTAGTCCAGCCGGCGGCACGTGTCCTGGAGCCCCCGTTCCTTTGGTTGCTTTAGCCACCGGCGGCCGTCCTGCATCCTGCGCGGTCCACGAGAGTGCGCGGTTCTTTACGCGCTTGTTCCAAAGCCTGGAGTCGGAAGCAGGGGCGAAGATGGCGGGGGGGGGGGGTCCCTCCTGGCACGGCGCGGGTTCCGAGCCTGGGAAGGCACAGTCCGGAGGCAGGAGAGCTGGCTTACTGGCCAGGTTCCCGCGTGGGCGCGCGTAAGGACGCTCCGGGCCCCAGCGCCGCGCCACGGAGCCGAGGCAATGGTGGCTGTTCGGAGGCGGTGCACCGGCACCTCGCGATCCCCACTCCCCACTTCCGGAGCTCGGGCTGGCAGCTCGAGGCTGCGGGCCCCTTCTCCGGGCACCTTTCCCCAACATCCTCCAGTCGCCAGAGAGTTGCTCGGGAGGTGGGAGCGGACTGTGTCCCCTGGGCTTCTTTAGCCCTTGGGCAAGTAGTTTGCCGAACACTTCTCGCTCCGTCTCCGAGAGTCCTCCTACCCCCTTAATAATCAGAAACTAGAGCTCGGCCAGTGGCGCTTGCTCTCTTGCGGGTCCTCGAGGCGGCCCGGCACTTGTCCAGGTCTTGCGCCCGGCGCCTGGTGTGCGCGTCCTGGGAGTGTCCCGGGCACCGCGGTTCCCACCCGCGCGCGCAGCTGGGCCTCAGCCCCTTCCCGCGAAATTGAGTGCTCACTTGCCGAGGCTAATGGGCCCGGCTCCGGGAGTTCCTGGCTGGTCCAGGCGTCCTGGAGCTGTCGGCCTCCTCCGTCAAAACGGAAGACGTGTTTTTCCCTCTCCTTTGTGTTTCCCTCCCACAAAAGGCCGGGTGAGTGTCAGGCCGGCCTTTGCTCAGCCGCCTGGCGGCCCGGGAGGAGCTGGTGCCAAACGGGCCGGGGCGGGCTGGCGCGGGGCTCCAAAGGCGCAGACCTCCCACTTCTTCCCGGGTTCCTCCCGGGCCTTTCTTTCCTGTTCTCGCCTTTCCCTTCTCCGAGTTCCTGCGCACATTCAGGCAGCGTCTCAGCCCGGGTGCCAAGGAGAGCGGCGTCCTTTCGCAGGGCGGTCCGGGGCTGGTGGGGGGAGGCGAGGCTCCCGGAAAGAAAAGAAAAAAGATTGCAGCCATCGCTCCTGGTTCGGAAACCAGAAGGGAAGCGGAATGCTAGCGTTTGGCGTCCAAACGTGAGCGATCAGACCGCTTGGAAGGCAGAGCTCTGCAAACAAATACTTTGTCTTCCCTGTGAGACTCAGTGACCGGAGTGGTCCGGGTCATCCCCGGCCCCAGCGCCTAGCACAGGACCTGACACGTGGAGGGTGCTTGGTGAATACTCTGGAATGCACACACGTGCAAATATGCACGTGGGCTGGTGTGAAACCAAACTGGTAAAGTTCATGTAAATGTGGTGGAAGGTGCGTGTGTATTTCTTCGGGCTACACAGTAAACCAGGAGGTCTGTAATCTGGATTGCTGGGGATATGGGAGCATTTAGAATGACAGGGGTAGTGACTTCCACCTAATGGCCACTTAGAGGTGATCTAAGCTGTGCCTAGTGGGTCTGGCAGATTTCATCTCATTTCATCTCTCCCTGACCTAGGAGGGAGGTATTACTTACTCCCATTTTACAGATGGGGAAACTGACCCTCAGAGGAGTGTGGCCATTTGTTCAAGGTCCCCTGAGCAGAAGGGCAGGTCCCGGGAGGCAGCATGGTGATGGAGCCAGTGAGGTGGTGGGCATCCAAAACTTAGGGATCTCGGGTTGTCTGCTCTTGGCCTCAGGCTCTCATTCCTAAAATGAGTTTCTAGAAGCCACTTGTGGCCTCTAAGGGTGTGTCTGCCGTGAGATTTGAGAAGGGGATGAGAGGGTTGAATGATATCCTCCCTTTGTGATTTCTTTATTCTGCTAATATTCGTGACCGTGAGGCTTTGAGAATAAAGGACCCCCTGCCCTGGCTTGGTTCACGCTTAGGTGTCACCTAAAGGGAAACAACAAACAAAAAAGCAGACCACCCCGCCAAACTAAAAGCCCCTTCCCTCCAGTCAATCCCTGCATCTGGATCACCCGCCCCCCATCAAGCCCATGACTGTCACCTGCTCCTAAGGACCCCTGCCATTGAAGTTAACATGCCCCCCAAGTTCGCAGTGGAATGAAGTTGGGATTGGACCAAGGAATGACCCAGAACTAACTTTTATTGATCTCACCTTACAAACTGTTATCTTACCCAAGTTCTGCAAAAGCCCTTTGGTCTTAAGAAGAAGGAACATTGTTCCCATTTTACAGATGAAGATACTGAAGACTGAAGATCAGGGAAGGGGCTGAGTTCAAACTCCGCCCACAAGATCCCAAGTCCTAGGGCCTCAGCGGCTCAATCCGACACCTCCATCCACTCTCTCCCGCCATTCCTGAGATACGAGGCCACTACACCCTCCCCCCATTGAGATTAATCTGAAAGATGGGGGATCAGGGTGAACAGAGAGATGAATCTGGAGAGCGAGTCCTGAGGTGGGGTGCGCTCCACTCGAGTATAGGATGGCATGCACAAAGGGGACCAGGAAGCCCCTGACCCTGCCTGGGGTTAAGACCTTCCATTAGAGGAAGCAACAGGTTTCTGAGTGTGGGAGAGACACTTCCAGGCTACAGGTGACACGTCTGAGAGGCCAGTTTCCGGAGATGGGACAGGAAATGCATGCGTTCCCCTACCCCGTGTGGTCCGGGTGGGGAGCTGCAAGCGTGGAGGGCGTGGAGCCTCTTACTTCCACATACAGAGGGGTGAACGCCTGCTCTGAGCACTGGATGGATGGCCTG